GGTCAGCTTAGAGTTCTACAGATCATACTTAGTTTGCTCGCTTAGCCACTTTGGCATTTGGTATTTTGTTCTTGTGAAAGAAACCTCTCCAGAAGTAAATAGCTCTTGTGCTTAAGGCAAGGTTTCCTAATCTTGACAACATTTTGGACCACATAATTTTTGTTGTGGGAGCTGTCCCACACATTATAGCGTGTTTAGCAGCATTCCAGACCTTTACCCAATAGATGCCAGGAGCATTTCCCCTCCTCCAGTTGTGCCAACCAAAAATGCCTCCAGACATCACCAAATGTCTGCTGGGCGGCACAATCACCTGTGACTTAGAACCACTGGACCAAATATAAACCGCACACTTGGTGTGCACATAATGCTATGTGAATTGCGATAGAATAATAACCCTTAAGGCTTAAAAGACTAAATTATTCCCAAGAAAATATTTTGTTAAACATCTCATCCCCTGTCTCTTTGAACAGCATTTGGAAGGCCTAATGCATACATTACCAAATACAAAAACATAAAGTCACATGTTTAGAGTTATCTTCCTTTGTTATTATGCCTGAAAAGTTCCATTAGTTTTCTTATTTCTGTTCACCCATGGTGTGATGCCTCTGCTTGAAGTATTTATTTGAAGCTTCTGATTATTTTTTTCACATGATCCCTGTGTGAAAGTGCTTTCACACCCTGATGGACACATGGCAGAAACTGAAAAATCGCTAAGAGATTGGGAAACATTCTGCCTTTCTCTCTTTGGAGTCTGGTCTGGTGTATTTTCTTTAGATATGGTTCCTCTAAGCCTCAGATGCAATAGCAGCCTCTCCTGTCATGGTTTAAGCAAGGGTTTCCTGTAAATTCATCTGGTTTATGTCTGGACTTGAGAAGAGCTTATTTCAGGATACCAGAATTAGGGGATCAAGGTGCTGCGCTGAGTCCGTTCTTCCCAGTACATTTTTCGTGCTAAATGACTCTCTGACTTGAATGACAGTATTGGAACTTGCTGGGAAGTATGAAATATAATTCTTGTTTGATGGATAGGATTAGAACAGATAGAACAAAAATGCATTAAATTTCCCCCCAAGGGTTCCCTTTGCTAGTATCAGTTTACTTGGTTGTTTTCTTTATGTTTCTGCTCTCTGTTTTCCCTGTAGAATTTCCTGTAAACTCTGCCTGTCAATCCAATCTTTATTGCTTTCATTTTTAATACTCCAATTGGTATATTTTACAAAATAGACCAGCCATGCCAAAATGTGATGTGTGGTTTTTTCTGTCCCTGTAAGAGGCTGGACCTGGGTTTCTCCAAAAGCCAAAACACTGCATAGTGTATGAGAAGGACTGTTTGTTGAGTGGTCATGGGTGCCTCTCATGTCATTATGAGCCTCAAATAAGTTTTTTTATTCACTGCCTTATAAATAAGATCTGGCAAGGACCTAAGGGAATTTTTAAATGCAAACCATGATTTTCATAGAAATGAACTGTTTTCCCGAGTGACAAATGCCCTTGCATGCTTAGAAAGCAACTATTAGTTGAGCTTCCACTGAACATTCACAAATATGCAATATTGGACCATCTTCTCTGGGCTCTCCTCCCTAGTCTTCCTCCTGTTTCAGGGACTCATTGCCCATGCTCCTGCCATCTTGGTATTGACCATCCTGTACTATAATCACCACCGAATTCCATAAGGTGCTCTGCATTTATTCCTTCATTCAACATAGAGTTATTAAGTATCTACTACTTCTCAGACTCTGTTTTAGGCAACAAGGTTTATATGCCTTCAACCCTTTTTCTAGAAAATATATTGTATTAGTAAATATATTGTATTAGTCAGCTCAGGCTGCCATAACAAAGTCCTATTGACTTAGTGTCTTAAACAACAGAAATGTATCTTGTCGTAGTCCTGAATGCAAGATCAAGGTTCTGGCAGATTCTGATGAGGGCTTTCTTCCTGGCTTGTAGATAGCTGCCATCTTGCTGTGTCCTCACATGACCTTTCCTTGGTGTATGCATGTGAGGAAGAACAGCCAGGATGAGCCCTCTGATGTCTCTTCCATGAGGACACTGATCCTACCCCACCAAGGTCTCCCTTATGACTTCAATTAACTTTAATTATTTTCTTAGAAGACCCACCTCCCAATATAGCCACATAAGGGGTTAGGGCTTCAATATATGAATTTTGGGAGGCCACAAACATTCAGTCCATAACATACACAAAGAGTTTTTTTTTAATTAATACTTCAGATAGTGATGAGAGCGATAAAAATAAATTTTAAAAAAAAGGATAGGGAACAATTGGGGCAGAGACAGCAGTTGCTAATTTAGCGACAGGCCTCTCTGAAGAACGGACAGTTGAGTGAGATTGAAAATGAAAAAGAGTTAGGCTTATAAATATTTGGAAAAGCAAGCATTCTAGATAGAACTGCAAGTTCAGTGGACAGATGGGAGTCATGGGACAGAAGGAAGTCAGTGTGACTGGACTTGAGTTGGTTATAGGGAAAGAATAGGAAACATATCAGAAGTAGGCAGTAGCCCGATTGTGCTGGTCAATGCAAGGAGTGCAAATTTTGTTCTCTTGCAATGGAAAAGCTTCGGAGGGTTTTAGACTGATTAATTTACAAATAAGGTACTATTTCAGTGACTACACAGATAAACGTTACAGGGTGTTTTAGAGTCTTGGCCAACTTCGGTGCACAGAATGAATGCTCAATAATCTCTCTAAGGTGGAAGGACGGATGCTTTCTTATGTAGTAGTTATATTTTTTAAAAGTCAGGTTTATTAAGTATAACTTACACAGAATATATTCACTCCTTTTGTGCACAATCCTATAGCTCCTACAAGCAGACACAAAATCATGTAGTCACCATAGCAATCAAAATATAGAACAGTTACATCCCCTCCCCAAATTCCCTCATCCTCCTTTGAAATCAACCTGTTTCTACCCCTCTATAGTTTTGCCTTTTCCCTATTGTGATAGAAATGGAATTTAGTACATAGCCTCTTGAATCTGACTTCTTTCACTTAGCATAAGTTACTTAAGATTCATCATGTTGAAAGTATCAATAGTAATTTTATTTTTATTGTTAATTAGTGTTTCATTGCATGGATGCACCACTGCTTGATTATTGATGCCATTGAAGGACATTTGGGTTGTTTTCAGTTTGGGACATGTATGAATAAATATGTTACAAACATTTGCATTAAGGTTTTTGAGTAAACAAAAGTTTTTATTTATCTTTGGTTAGTACTGAGAAATGAGATGCCTGGAGCATACAATATATGTATGTTTAATTTTGTAAGAGAGTGACACGCTGTTTTCTAAAATGGTTTTCCCACCAGCAATGAGTGGGAGTTCCACTTTCTCTGCGTCTTTGTCAGCATTTAGTATTGTCCTTCTTTCCTTTTACTTAGTATTACCCCTTTTGCTGCTACTATTCTAAAAGGTGTGTCATCAATGTCTTTTTTTAAAACTTCACTACCATAAATTCTGGGGTCTGGTGGGTATGGACAGTAAAGATGTAACATATAATAGCATATTTTTTTTGTCTATACTTTTTTTAAACTAAAAGAGTATGCCCTTATAAAATCCTTGTTAAGAGTTTAATATAAGACTACAGTTCTTGCTTGAAGTCGTTTACAGTAATCTAAGCTTGAAGAACTTACTTCTTGAATCCCAGAAACCTTGAATTCTAGTTCTCTTATATTCAATGGGACACTCATGGATGCTTCCTTAGAAAAGTAACCCATGAAATTCTCTGTTAAAAATATCAGACTAAATGCAGTGGTTCACACTTGTAAATCCAGCATTTTGGGATGTTGAAGCAAGAGGATTGCTTGAGCCCAGGAGTTCGAGGCTGCAGTTAGCAACTACCATGCTACTGCGCTCCAGCCTGGATGACAGAACAAGACTCTGTCTTTAAAACAAATACAAATAAAAAAACCTTGAGGCTTGATGAAGACTTCATCCATCAAATTTCAGCTTCTTTCATACTATTTAAAAAACAGTAACTGAGTTTCGCTAAAAGATGCCATTATCTCTGATATGCATTTTTCTAATTTATTCTCATATCACTGACATACCTCATCTCAGGCAACCTAGTTTTGTCTCTTCTATGGCTGGCCACTCTAGCCTTTCACTTACCAGTGAGATATGAAGGGGAAAGCATGACTTAAAATTCTGACAATATCTTTGAACACCAGGTAACTCATAGTGAGCAGAGATAGGCATGTCACTGATTTTTCACATCCAAGAGCTACTCTTCAGTAGATCTTCAAAATGATCATTCCTTCCCTGACTTGTGGATTCTTGATCCTGGCCAGAATTATTCTCTAATTGTTCGGTGAAGGGCTCTGGAGAACTAGAAAATTCAGTGCTTTTTACAAAGTCTACAAGAAGTACATCATACGGGTCCAGTATCTCCACCAGTGCTTTGATTGAATCCAGAAAATATTCCTATTCCAACCCAGGCACAAATTGTCCTCCTTATTCTCTCTTCATGAGGAAAGTATTTTCTGCATGAAGATATGGACCCACGCCTAGCATACATTATCCAGAACTTTCTAGAAACTGACCCTATGTCCTAGATGAAGAGATAGATGCCATTCCTGAATGTGTAAGTAACACCAGCCACCTTTATAAAGCCTGGTGTTTTCCTGTTGCCTTTTATAGAAGAGCTTTCGAGATGGCATTGCCTTTTTTCTTCTTTTTTTGTGACTATGATTCCCGTGCTCTTCTCCTTTAGTTGGTTGGAGACACTATTACGTGCACCTGGCAAAGGAGAGATTTTGTGTGACTAATATTATAAGCTGACTCAAAGTTGTCATTTTGTCTGGAACAACTTATTTCTCTTAGTGGAATCAGGTGCTGTAAATCTCTCGGATGCTTCTGTTAACAGTTGGTGGAAAAACCTGCGGGTGGAAATCTGTCTTTCCCAGAGGAGCTTGGTAGCATTTGATTAGCGGCCAGGCATGCAGCAGCTTCATGAATCTTCTTTTTTTTGTTTTCTGTTTGCAGATTTTATTCTTCACCGTACAGTATTGCAACCAACCGCATGATTCCACAGACATCTATCACGCCATTCATTGCTGCTTCCCCTGTCTCCACATACCAGGTATGTCCGATTTACCTGCACCTTAGGAGAGTCTTCCTTGCCAGTAATACTCTATTTAGAGGCAAAAAGGACACAGTAGAATTAATAGAAAAATTTTCCTCATTCACTTCAGTCACATCTTAATATAATATCGTGCAAGTTATGAATGAGCCTTTACTTTCAAGGGCCTGTTTGCATCAATTCACTGAGTAATAAAATCCACTGTGCTTTTCATTTTTCCTGCTGAGTTTTCATGATTATGCTACTTTCCAACCAACATTAATACAGCTCTCTTACCACTGGGAAATTATTTTGTTTGTTGTCTGTTATTTTGGTTGTTCACGTTCCCTCTCGTGTCTTTTCTGAAAGCACATTTCTAGCAATTCCTTCACTCACTCCAAGATATTTTATCACTGTCATCTCATTCTGTCATGGTTGTCCCGGGAAAGCTACACAGATCGATGTTAAATCATACTTCCCAAGAAATAGGGGAGATTATTAAAGTGATAAAAAGTTCCTACACCCTTCTCTTACTTCATTCTCAGTTCCAGAGAGACCAAAAGAGACCTCAGGGCTTCCACATGTTGAAATGTTGGAAAATCTGAGAGTCAACATGTGTCTTAAACCAGTTGTGGTAACCCGTTAATTCCAAGTACACAGGTAGATTGTAATACACTCCTCCCTCAAAAAAAAAAAAAATACTCCTTTATCTTATTCCCTTGAGTTATTAAATATGTGATATTCCTCTCTGCTCCTCTTCACCTGACATTATTTTTAAACAATTCTTCCAATTACAATTAGGTAATGCCTCATAAATGCTACATGTAGGAAAAATGTATCTAGTGTCACTTATTAAAAGTCTAAAGAGAAAGAAAAATGAGAGAGAGAGAGAGAGAGAGAGAGAGAGCGCGAATGAGTGCATGCCTGTGCTTCTCTATTCCTTGCAGATGGTGGGGTGGATATTTTACGATGGGTCAAACTGTAATGTTGCCGCCTGGTCTTTATTCAGGGAATTTTCACCTTATTTAGCCACTACATATTTCATTTCAGAATGTCCCAGCTGTCAGAGCATCCAACTTGAGACTATAAGCATTTTTTCTTAACTGATTCCCCTGAAGCAGATCACTTTATTCTTTTTCTGCACTTAGACTCTTGAACATGTCCATGGGCAAACGGGGTAGACTTTTGTTTGAATTGCATTAGAGGGTCTCAGAATGGCTGATTTCTTAATTGCCTTTCCTTGGGACCCATGAGGCTAAGTGCAGGTGCTGTTCAGTTTTTGTTCTTCCTGCAGGCCTGCCTTGTTATAATGTGTTTGTGTGTGTGTGCGCGTGTGTGTGTTTCCTTTTTTTCTAATCTTGGCCTCTCTTACAGCCAAGACCACCCATTAAGCCACAGTGTAGAGCACTTCAGTGACATGAATAAAATATTCACAGAAAAGTGATTTTACGTGGGAGGGTTCATAAGTGGAATTTAACTCTAGCTCTCTTTTCTCAAAAAAGGGATTAGAGCAATTTTCTTTGTTGTTGATTCTTGCCTTTCACCACTTTTTTGTTTTTAATCCAAGGTGTATTGGCAATTTTGTTGGTGTGAATATATTAAAAAACAAAATCTTCAGGGTTCTCCATGTGACATTCAGTTTATACAGGCTGACTTTCTCATTTGGCTGACACATGGTACATGAAAGAATAGTTGGCTGGCTGAAATACTCATTTGTATTTATTATAACAATTACTACAAGAGAAAAAATTACCAACTTGCTTAACTTGGGCTTAGTCCAAATCAGTCCCTCAAATTTCTGGTTATCTCTTCAGTTCTTACCACAACTTTTCCACTTGAATATATTTCAAAGATGGAATCACAAGAGCTTTCAAAGTTTCAACTAATGACAGAAAAAGAGGAAGTCTTAGCAGTCAACTCTTGCTTTCTTCACTACTTGCCAAAGCATCCCTGGAGTTGACTTCCAAATGGTCTCTGAGGCCTCCTAAGTAAGATTTTGTCTTCAAAACTAACCTCAAAATATGCTCCAAGACCCATCCTGGTCCATGTGGGCACTGAAGCCAGCTCCACTGAATTGGGAAATGGTTTTAAAATGTATCAGGGACCAAATTAATCAGGTCCAAGAACTCCCTTTTTAACCCTGGTTTTGAGCACTAAGTAGCCGTGAAGTCAGATGGACTCCACTTTCTTATGACCTAGTGTGACTCCACTGAACGCAAGAACCGAGTTCTCTCTGTGATTGCTTTGTGCTAATAAATGCTGTTTGATGCATAGGTCCAGAGTACTTCATGGATGCCTCATCCGCCATACGTTATGCAACCAACAGTAAGTGATCTCAGTCACCTGAGGCTAAATATTTCTATTATCCAAGTGCAAACTTTTGGAATGCATAGAAGCTTTGGGGTAAAGCTTTTGTTTTATTTTGTAAGTCTTTCAGGCAGCCATATTCCAGATAAAAAGCTGTTTCTGAAGTTCTACCAAAGCACATACAATAGATAGCTAGAGACAGAGATAGACAGAGAGAGATAAAGAGAGCGAGAGAGTAAGAGAGCGAGAGTGACAATGAGTGAGAGAGAGAGAGAGAGAGAGAGAGAAACTTTACTGGAGGAAATGGCAGTCAACTTTCTAAGCTGAGGGCTACCATTTCTAGCGAATGAGGAATTTCTGCTTCATGCAGAAGTCTGGACAATTAAATCTATTATAGGAGGAAAGTCTTTTTGTTTCCCTTCTTCTATTATGCTTTGCTTTCTTTGGCCACAGTCTGATGTGCCTGATGTGCTTTGGGTACAATTTTGAGTATCATGGTCAAATGTTGACTTAAAACAATATATTTCAAATATGAAGGTAGTTGTCTACTAATATCTGGAATTAAATAGATAGATAGAGAGGTGAGTAAATATTTTTATGTTAACTAACTCTAGTCATTCTCTTTTTCCTTAGTGAAAAATGTCTTCCAAAAAATATTCACACTCTATTTTCTACTTGCTAGATTTCCCATTTTGTGGCACAATATTTCATGAATCCCAAGTGAAAAGTATGACATATTACATTAGAATCCAGACTGAAGGCTAATGATTCAATTTATCTTTGTCTAGGGCTTCCAGGTTTTCTAGTTCTATAGAAATACAAGATAGAGATTTCGATAGCGACGCACTTATGCGAGGGAAAGAGCCCAGACTAGAAGTTGTATGACAAGGTCTCTGTTGACTCTCCTGGGTTTGCTCACATCCCTGCCTTTGATTCCTTTTCTGTCACCATACTTAACAGTGTTATTGGGAGAGAGAGAGTAAATGAGAGAACATAAGTGAAGACAATGTAAAAACTATGGCAGCTATGTATTATTATTACCACTAGCCTTATTATTATTGAATATGCTAGTTGTACAAAGTAGAAGCAGTGCTACATTTCAACCTTTTCAGAAGATACATTTAAATAAGGTGATACATGTTAAAGATCAGGAAACAAAATACACAGGCATCTATTTCCTGGACTCAAGGAATCAGAGAATCTGGTTTTCACATTTAAGCTTTTTCCATCTTATTTTTTTAAATAAGGAACTTTCCATGCTCCTAACATTTCAATAGTTTGTTTTTTATTTAAAGAGTAAAATGTTTGCAGCTTACTACAGCAGAACTTTAGAGCATACTTTGCAAATCCCTTGCTTTACTATTATTTACACACCTTGGGGGCTTTCTGAGTTCATCTGGTCTATGTTCTATAAATCATACCAATATGCAGCAAATCCAGGCTACACTTTTCTGTCCAAGTCATAAGGTAAAATTCAGTATGTGCTGCCAAACCAATATATAGCATAGCACAGACCAAGCCAACACAGGAAAAGGGAAGAAGTCCTGCCAGTTTCTAAAGAGGAGACTTTCTAGAAGGAAACAACCACCTTCTAAAAAAATAATGTGTTCATCTATAGTGCATGAATGCTAACTTAGTCCTCACACTGAGGTTCAGCACCATCTCTTTGTGGTCAAAAAGAATGCACATCTGGCAAGATCTGAATATTTTACCAGATGTCAAATTACGTAAGATTCTTCAGTGCTTCTAGATCCGTGAGGAGAAGAGAAGATGGTGGTATAGGTCTTTATTTCAGGTGTCACTTAGAACTTTTGTAAAGTTCTTTATATACCTCCTTCTCTATCCCAGCACAGCTTTAGCCCATGTTTGCATGTATTATTTCCTCAAACATCTTCTCTAGCAATAGATGGCTGTGTGTGTGTGTGTGTGTGTGTGTGTGTGTGTGTGTGTGTGTGTGTGTGTGTGTCTGTGTGTCTGTGTCTATGCACACGGGCTTTAATTTACTTCCTTGATTTTTCCTTGCTGTGGTTGCTTTTCACTGCTGTCATATCACTTCCCACGACTACATTGTACATCATGTTTGAGCTTAGACGGCTGGGTTTAAAATGCAATGTTTATGGCTGAACAGATTCCCAGAAAAAAAAGGAGTGGCTAGACCACCCACCACTTTGTTATCTTTAACATGGAAAAATCAGCAAAACGGTGTCATGGAAACACAGAGCTTATACCATCAATCTTTGCCCTGTAACAGCCTTTGCTGATTGTCCATATTGCATAAGTAACTTAGTTTCATCATCCAAGTAAGGGTTAAATTAATCAATCACTTTAAGATATTAAAATATAAAAATACTCAAGCCATCTAAGGCCCAGAAACAAAATGCTCGGATCTGAGAAGAATGAATGAGCATCTTGATCACTAATGGCATGGATTTTTGATTAGTCCCACTGGGACAGGAAATCCTTCTTAGCTATGGGTGCTGGGCAATTTACTTAAGCTTTCTGAGCCACAGTTTCCTCATCTGTAACATGGACATAATAATACCTAGATAGTTATGTGTTTTGTTCACTAAATGAAATAAGGTATTAAAGCTCTTAAGATACTTCTTGGCAAATAGCAAAGGCTCGATAAATTACTATTATTTTTTAATTATATAGTAGAATTCTCATTATGCTTGATTAGCCCAATTATATAAAATGAGTGTTGTTATAAGAAGAAAGTTGAGAATAAGCAACTTTGTTGAAAATCAGTCATTTTTACCACATTCATCATGCATATTTAACATTCTTTGCTAATGAGTTTGGTGGAGAGGGCCTCTGTGGTCATAAACAAGACAAATTGCTTACATTCGAATTTATTTCACTTACTTTCTAAACCATTCAGCACTTAATAGTTTAAAAAGCACACCTTGGATACCTCCACTACCAGTAACACTCTAGTTATTTTACAAATAAATTCAAAGTGTCGATAGCCACATCTCAAATATGTTGTCCAGAATTCCAGTTTGCTTGCAACTTTTCTTCTCTGTCACGTTTTCTTTTTCCTCATTAAAAAAAAAAAATCATGTATGAGCTCTCCTTGTAGAGGTGTGTACTTCACCAATCACCATGCATGCACAATGACCCTTGAGTGAGAGCCTCATACATCACCTAGGCCAGAAGTCTTTCAGGTTCCCTCTCAGGCTTGACTTGAAGGGCCCTACGATCTCAATCAGGTTTGTATCAAGAGAAAACAGTGTTCCGGTGAAGTTTAAAGGAGAGCACAGTGTCCTTGGTCTCTTTGCTAGGGTTGATGAATGGTTGAACTGAATGGATGACAACTGGTAAGCGAGAAATGAAATGACCCAGAGAAGGGAACGGAACAGTAAAGGTGGTATGAGAGAACAGAAAACATAAGCGCCTCGTACTGAAATTTGCTCTTTGAGCTTGTTTCTTTGGAGATTTAGTTTTCCAAGTAGCGTGAGATGTGCCTTTTTGTAGATTTAGAAAAATAATCTGGGAAGAAGGGATAAAAGTCTGCTCTCACAGGTTATAACCGTCATTCTGGTATTTGTGCAAGGAAAGAGATCTCTGTCATTGGACTCCAGGACCTTATTGGATCTCCTGGGAAGTCACCAAACCCCACTTAGGGAAGCAAGGACATCCCTGTTTGCATTCTGTTGTTTACCTGAACAGACTCTGAGGAGACAGTACTGTTAGACTAAATTAGGAATTCCCTTTTTTCTGTGAGAAAGTAAAAATGCTGACATTGTCGATGCAATTGGTTATTTGTTTCTATATCTCAGTGCAGAGTTCTGTACGCTGAAATCTCACCATTACACTGACAGAATTTTAATAGTTGATGGATTGCATCGAATCTCTACTCTACGGAATGGCATGTCACATTGGAATGTCATATGAATACACAATTGAAATTCTTATGTTCCAATACATCGGACATTTTGTTACATCTGTGCTACTGACAAGGAGAGAAGATGATAGCTCCCAAGAGGAAGCAGAGTTCCATTCCCTTAAATTCTATTTAGGCTCATTCGAATCATAAATCTTCTGTTCTTCGTGTGGTTAGTGTTATATCATCTCAAGGAGAAAGGTCAGCTTTCATTTTTACTTAATTACAAGTTGGTTATCTAATTACAGTAGTCTAAGAAAGACAAGATGCCCTTATTGAATCAGTAGATGATTTGTTGCCATGCATGACTAAATTATAATTTTTATGATTAATAAACCCTAAGTTTACAGCTGAAGAGTACATATAAACTGCTTCTCTTCAACAAGGCTGTTTAAGAAAGCCCCAGAATATTTCATTTGGTCATTCTTTGCCCTTAAACAGGTAAGGCCTAAGGCCTAGTTTTAGAGTTTGTGCCCTTCAAATTTGCAGACGTGTATTCTGAAAGGTATTATCACCAAATTTGAAAAGGTTATTAGAATTATGTTCAGAAAGCAAGGTTTTTATTTTTTATTTTTATTTTTTGAGTTGGAGTCTCACTCTGTTGCCCAGACTGGAGTGCAGTGGCCGCTCCCGGCCACCGCAGCCTCGACCTGCTGGGCTCCGCCAATCCTTCCGCCTCAGCCTTCCGAGTAGCTGGAATTACAGGTGCGCGCTACCACACCTGGTTAATTTTTTATTTTATTGTAGAGATGAAGTCTCGCCTGCCCAGGCGGGTCTCGAACCCGCGGGCTCGGGCAATCCATTCACCTCAGCTTCCCAAAGGCGCGGGATTACAGGCTGAGCCACCTAGCCCGGCCGAAAGCAAGGTTTTTAGATATGACCCTTTTATTTTCAATATCTAAACTGAGCAAAAAAACCCCATAGTTTCAATATTTTAAAGATAGTACAAAATTTTTTTGCTATCTAAGGAATAAACCTGGTTAATATATATATGGGTAATATTTAAGTGTGGATATATGGTATATATACCATATATGCATATGGGCCAAATCTTTTTTTTTTAACTAAGTAGCAAAAAAGCAAAACCAAACAACAGCAGCAACTCTAACTATATATACTATTTCTACCAGAA